TCCAGTCTAGTCTGAAGGTCTTTTGTCTTACATGGGCGTCACATATCCTGCCTTCCTCTCTCATGCTATGTCATGATAGTTGACTTTCTAAGTCTGTTGTCCGTCATCATTCAGACTTCCAACTGGCTGACATTGATTTGACATAAACGTGTGGCGCAGGTTATGTGCTGAACACGCAAACAATTTATGTGTGCACGCTGTCCTGAATATTATCTTTCAGTGACCGTGAATTCTATACACCCATCATTCTTCCCCTGGGGTTATAAATCCCCTGTTTAAGTGAACACATTAAGTGAGCACATGGTGGGCACACAAAACGTAGCAGCATCCCTGCACATATTTGGGCATCATTTCCCTCAGTCCCAACTCATATTTTGGCTGATCATGGAAACAATATAATTACATTTCATTATAGCAAATGTCATTGTTCACATCCTATTTTATACACATGAAAACATACACTGAAAAAACATGTGACACAAACATACAAGAAATAGGAATAGTTTAGCCGTTCCCTAACTGAGATACTGAATACTCACAAAGAACTATTTCAAGCAGAATGTGCAGACAAATTAGGAAAAGGTAGTATAGACTAAGCTTAACTCCCTAACCTATGTATACAAGATTAATATTAATATTCACCTGGGAACTTTCCATCAATCGCCAAACCAGAATGCGACCGTAAAATACCTTTACGTCGACCTGTGTTTGTTGCTTGCTAGCTGCGATGTGACGGAAATTCCAAAGGTTCGGAGTATACTATCTATTGTCCAAATTAAACTCCTCCCTTTACTCGGTTCTACCCAACCCTCAAGACGATGATTTAAGCCACGCCTCTGAGGTAACTATCAGATCAAATTGGCTAACAAGTGGCCTGTCACTCAATTCTGGACTGACATCCCTAGAGCAAACATTCTTAAGTGACCCAATCTAGTTTACAACGAATCTAACTAGCCGGTGTGAAAAGACGTTCAGTGAAGCCATTGTGTTTCCTACTTGACCCAGATCAAACATTCCTAATTGCCAAACACCTGTTCTCTCCAGAATTACACTGACGTGCGAAACTTAAATCTCTCGTCGCCAGAATGTCTATCGTCCACTCAATTCCCCTGTTCAAAAGGGCCCCACTCAGGCTGTGTTAGGAGATAACATTCTGACACTGGCGTGAGAATCAAACCTAACATCCCTAGTCTGAACCAGCGGGCTGTATTACGTAGTGTTATGTAATTTTAAACAAAGCGCAGTGGCTTTGTCTCGGAGAAGGACTGGAAACATTTAAATCAATTTTGGTTTAAAGTAATATTAGGGTAAAGGGCAGAGTAAATATAATCCTCTCTCTTTAGAACCAGAAGAACTTATTACAAGTACTAACTTCTGGAACCACTGAGATCGTTTCGTGACACCCGGGTCGACTTCGAAGCTGAAATCATTTTGTAAAATAAAAATAAAAAATTTTAAAAAGTTCGGCTATGTTAGGACCTGAACCAACGACGTTTGTATTCGCAAGCTAGCGTCTATCCTCTACACCACGGTGTCTGCCTTTGTGTAGAGTACCGACCCATCTTTATCACATGTATCACACATGTCGACCCAGTCCAAAATCTGTACAAAGTCATATCCAAGGAAGTAAAGACGACCGGATTGATGCTCAGCTAGTGCCGAGTGACGTTTAAAAATAGAATTATGCATAAGGCATCGATTGTTCCACTGACGTAATAAAGGTCGTTTATTTTGTATTTTACATATACGACGTAAGACTGTACTGGAGTGACGGGCCTTTCATTAGCCAAGCCACTTTTAATGGGAACATTCTGGAAAGCTTCAGAAGAGACTACGGCTCCAAGGCTGCTTTACAAAGCATTGATGTGATGCATGTAGGTCCCTCTATGTTACTGAGTGCTTTTATTTTCCCTGTTTGTCTATCTGTTTTGCCAATCCGAATGTCTTTTATCCGTCTGCTTGTCTGTTTATCAGTCTGCGTGCTTATCTTTATTCAGTTTTTACTTTTGTTTTTTTTCTATGTATACAATTGTTTTTTTTTTCATTTTTCCTTCTCTTTTACCTTAAACACTATCTTTCGTCTTTTCTTCCAGTGTTATATTTTCCAGGTTTTTCATATTCTGTGCAAAGTGATTAAAGACAATTAGACACAAAAAGGGGAGATTAAAACAAAAATGTTTTTTTTTTTACTTGTGATGAGGAAAAATATAGTTTTGTCAATGCTGTGTCTTCGAAGGCTCAGATGATTTGGATATAATTAGAGAATTGAGGATTATAAAGTTTCTAAATACAACCTCTATGGTGAAATACAGAAAGGTAGAAATTGTCAAGGTCGGCCTCTGCTATGATATAAAGATGTGTGCAACCGGGGCACAAATGGTACAGGTATATATAAAAAAAAAAAAAAACACGGGAATACAATTCGAAGGAGTTTGCTCTATGGAGGATAAAAAATCAGGTAGGAAATAGTGCAAAGGGACAAAATGACTGCAGAAAGGTAGAGAGCTCAGCGTCTGAGGAAAAACACGATAAATACCTGCAGTGGCAACAGTGATCCCGAAATCCCATGTTCTAATTGGAGAAGATTGGATTTTGCTAGTCACACTCGCCATCGCCATGGGCTGCGGTTCCCATGCATCCCTGTAGCACAAGATAACATTGTCGTTTAGAATGACAGAAAGGTGCCAGACGGTGAGGAAAAGCCAAGTAAAACTCTTGATGACAACCTGCAGTGTCACTGCGACAAAGGGAAGACAAAGAGATACGTAGCCTGATATACTGAATGTTTATCAACATGTCACATGATGATGATAAACACTGGCAAAGCAGCAACAGTCTTTAAAAGTCTTACCAAAATATGGAGCTCCGAGTTAAACAGCTACGAATCTTGGATTCTAACGTTATTTCAATTCCAACATGTACCAGCGAAAGTTGGGGAACCATCCAAGATATGGAACGAAAGTTCAATGCATCTGAAAATAAATGTCCAAGAAAAATCATGAACATGAAATTTGATGCATTCAGAATGAGTTAGGAGATCGGAGAAATGTCTGGTAAAATACATGGATCATCTGCAGTAAGTCAAAGAAGGTGGAAATATATTAAGCACACTCTGAGAGTAAATGAGCAAAGAATTACACAGTAGACTCTAAAATGGGAAAACAAAACGGTCTGAGAAAAAAAAGAACCTGTAAGGAATTCATTAGGAAACAAAATATTATTGCGAGAGGCAAAAATTGCTAGGCTCCGCCATGTCAGAAATCGAGAAGGTTGCTTTCAATAGAGCTCAGTGGAGGAATCAAATGCGAGCCCTGTGTGACATCTAACGGCAAACAAGGAATGATGAGGGGATAATGGGGGATGTGGTCAGCATCACGCCGGCCGCCTCTACTTCCCGGAACTGCACCCGGTATCCATTCAAGGCTGGGTCGACCTGGGAGTCAAGGATGCGAACCCACGACCTTCCGATCCGCACGCGAGCGTTTAGCCGCTACGCCACGGCGACTCCCGATGGATCAGTAGCAGCTTGCTTAAATGTCACTTATTCTTTTTCCTGGACTCCCGGGAAAAAGCTGGCTGACCGCAGACGCTCTACAAATGTATTTGTTTCCAGCTAGATTTTGCTGATGCAGATTCCACATTTCTGGATCTAGAGACCCAAGGTTCAGTCGTCCATCTACTTGGTTAAGTGCTTGGTGCGAGACTGTGAGTGGTGGATTTCGTGTAGAATGTTTTTTTGTGTTTTTCTCTATCTTCTGTTGTGTCCGCCACATGTTGTTGACTACACTACAATGGTTGGCGGCCAAAAACATTCCGTAGGGTCTGCATTTATGCGGGTGCAATGCAGGCTCTCGTGACTGACCGTCTGCGTCAACAGTGAGCTGCAATTATGCTGTGGATCTGTTGGTGTTAGCAAATCTGGCAATTGCCTTATGCATTTTCACTTTATGTGTGCAAGCCTCGAGTTTTTTTTTTTTTCGGACTAAGACGTTTTCTCCATGTCTTCAAATATGAGAGTGAAGGAGATACTCTATTCATCTTGTTTGTCTGGTTACCCCAATAATTGTTCATTATTCTCAGTAAACATTGTTCCGTAGGATTACTTGCTGTGGACTGATGTCACCGGCGGAATCAGGTCAGCAGACGTGGATCTTGATTTCCCGCTGCCACAAGCCAGTCTCAGGAGCCATTTCCCAGATCTCATCTTTAGCAAAGTAGTGTACTTTCACGAATCGAGACAGAGTCGGCTTACAAGTATGTGTTGCTGTTGGGTTTGTTTATATCGTCATCATTCTCATCTTTCTTTCTTTCTTTCTTTCTTTCTTTCTTTCTTTCTTTCTTTCTTTCTTTCTTTCTTTCTTTCTTTCTTTCTTTCTTTCTTTCTTTTCTTTCTTTCTTTCTTTCTTTCTTCTTTCTTTCTTTCTTTCTTTCTTTCTTTCTTTTCTTTCTTTCTTTCTTTCTTTCTTTCTTTCTTTCTTTCTTCTTTCTTTCTTTCTTTCTTTTCTTTCTTTCTTTCTTTCTTTCTTTCTTTCTGTTCTTTCTTCTTTCTTTCTTTCTTTCTTTCTTTCTTTCTTTCTTTCTTTCTTTCTTTCTTTCTCTCCTATTTTTCTTTCTTTCTTTCTTCCTTTTTTTCTTTTCCTTTCTTTCTTTCTTTCTTTCTTTCTTTCTTTCTTTCTTTCTTTCTTTCTTTCTTTCTTTCTTTCTTTCTTTCTTTCTTTCTTTCTTTCTTTCTTTCTTTCTTTCTTTCTTTCTTTCTTTCTTTCTTTCTTTCTTTCTTTCTTTCTTTCTTTCTTTCTTTCTTTCTTTCTTTCTTTCTTTCTTTCTTTCTTTCTTTCTTCCTTGTTTCTTCCCTCCTTCCTTTCTGTTTTTTCTGCTTCTTTCTTTCATGCTCCGCCTTTGTGTTTTTCTTTGCTGTTATGTATACATTTATAATCATTTTTTTTTTTTTTTTTTTTTTTTTTTTTTTTTTAAAAAAAAATCTTTAATACCAAGGGCAAAGTTTAATCATCATCATCAAAGGTCAATCTGCTGCCTCGGAAAGTTGTGATGCCGCTCTGCTCTGCTCTTCGTTTCTTGCTGGCTTCCCATGATGGATGTAGTTTTTCTGGAGGTGCCTGGCTGGCTGGCAGGGCTTTATTAACAGTGTGACTAGTTTGGAAGTCTGCAGCATTGCCTCCAACAGACCTGTTAACTCTGGTTTGTGTGCCTGAACCCTTCGGTCCACCCCTACTGGCATGAATGTCCAAATGATGCTTGGATGTGATTCTTGCTGCTCCTCTAAAACTGTTTCCTCTGCCTTGACAATCACCTCTAAATGTTCTACTTTGATAATCACCTCTAAATGTCTTTTCCTGACGACCATATGTAAATGTCCTGCTTCTGTGACTTGTGTCTAATCTACCCGATGTGTCCCTTGTATCCCAGCTTTGCCTGTCATGTGCACCTCTGCAGAATCTCTCACTGCTGGCTCCTCTCTTTCCGCGTGGGCCCGGATTGTAAAACATAGATTTAGCCTTGACCCTGCCTGAACCTGTGTCTACATAAGCGCTATCATCATCATCATCACTGACACCAGCATCAGTTATTGTAATTTCTAAATCCTCCTCCTCATCACTTCCAGCGAAGAAAGGGTCTGATATCACTGTTTTATTTGCCCTAGTCAAAAATGCTGGGACTAACCTTGTCTTATATTTCTCACTGTTTTCATCATCATCATCATTATCACTAGAAAGAAAACTGTCTTGTGCATTCTGAAGTCTGAGTTCTCTGACCACACACTCACTGCTGGTCTGACAGTCACTAATGTGGCCGGACTGCAGGATGTTTTCTGAATCTGAGACCACAACATCAGGAATCTGACCATCTGCTGTATCTCTACTACTGTCACTGTCCTTGTCACTACTGTCACTGTCCTTGTCACTACTGTCATTGTCCTTGTCACTACTGTCACTGTCCTTGTCACTACTGTCACTGTCCTTGTCACTACTGTCACTGTCCTTGTCACCACTACCAGATTCATCAAGGGGTTTCTGCTGTTTCCCTTCTGTTAACTGACTTTGATTCAACATGCCTGTCCTTTGATTTATCCTTCTTTTCTCTACCATCATTTTTTTAGCACTATTCTGGGATAATTCCTGTTGATTTTCTTCCTCTTCTACAAGATTATCTGCTTTATTAGTTTTAGAATCTGTCTTCTTTGTTTTGTGTCCTTTATTTTCTACAAGATCATCTGTTTCAGAATCTGTCTTCTCTGTTTTATGTCCTTTATTTTCTACAAGATCATCAGTTTCAGAATTTGTTTTCTCTGTTCTATATTCTTTATATTCTACAAGATCATCTGTTTCAGAAATTGTTTTCTCTGTTTTAGGTTCTTTATTTTCTACAAGATCCGCTGTTTCAGAATTTGTTTTCACGGCCTTACGTTTTTGCTTCAACTGACTGTCATCATTGTTGTGCTGACTGTCTGCACTCCTCCCACCAACAACTGATTTTGGTCGTTTTCGTTTCCTTTCAAACGTTTGCTCTGCTTTCAGCAAACCTTCCTGTCCAAATCTCCCTTGAATATAAGCTTTGGTCATGGTCTCACTGGCGTTCATGTTTTCCACACGTCTTTCCAGCTTCTTCTGTTTTTGTTTTTTTGTTTTAAATCGCCGACCTGTCTGCTTGATCAGCAAATAAGCAGCCAAATCTGGCCAATCACTGTGCTGACTGCGGAAATCTGTGACCACTCTCTTTAATAGTGGATGCTCAGCAAGTCTGGCAAGTGCGCGGGGCCCTGGTAACAAGCTTATCTTAGAGAGGTCATCAAAAGATGCTGTGTTTGCAAGGGCATACTTGGAGATGTTGTCTTCCTTGAGTTTCTTCATAGAATCAATTTCTTCTATCAGTCTCTCAGCCTTGCGGAGGTTTTTGGCTTTGTGTTCCTCTGTTCCTTGTTTCATCTTGAGTTTGTGAATATGTCTGCACAATTTGCTAATCACGTGCACCTTGGCTCTCTTCACAACCTGCCTCATGTTCACCACCTTATTATTGAGCGTCATCAGGTCGATTGAAGCTGTCTTTGCGAAGTCAATACTTCGCGAGTCCATGGTTCCAGTGGTAACTAAACAAATGCAAAACCAGATATAAATTTCCTCACTTCCGGACCACCATGTTATCTTCCTTCAGTTACTCCTAGGGAAACACTCCCTATTCCCACGAGCCTGCCTTTCAATATTTTTTGTTAACACCCCTGCCCGACTTTTCTGTAATATTGGCAGTCAGTATAGACGACAAATCCTTGATTTAGCTGATATGTTAATCAATGAGGACAGTGAGACATTCTTAAAGTAGTCCCGTCTAACAGATCAATGCTCCATCAAACGCCTGGAAGAGAGGACATCCCCTCTGAAGGACACCAAACACTCACTCAGTGACAGGAGTGGGAGCAGACAGGAGTTTCCAAGCGCCGGGCCAGAACCGCGGGACTATGTCGTGACGGAGTCTCCCATCTGCTCCCATCTTTGCTTGACTTCACGGGCGGGTCCCACGTGCGCATGCGCCACCGGATACTGGCTGAAGTCCAATGGAAGTTGCCTGCCGGGTATGTGTGAATCACTCATTATCTATTTCGTTCTTTGCATGTCTGTCTGTCTGCCTTCTGAGTGTCTGTCTCCCTCTATCTTTCTTCATCCACCGCGCTTAAACCCTCCTGTTGTTTGTATGTATCCGTTCATTCGTACAACATTCAGCTTGTCTCCCTGTCTCGCTTTCTCAGCCTGTCTGCCTCTTGCTGTCTGCTATCTTTTTCTGTCTATTTTTTCTCCTGTGAAACAATATTTGTAGACAACGCATCTATAGGGATTCTCGGTAGGTTGCGATGTCGATTCTGAAATAAATTAGAACCCTCCCACCCATCTCCCACATAAACACCTCTGATGATAAGAAAAAGAAAAGAACCTTGCATGAATTACTGGAGACTGTCACTATATGAATGTGCTTACTGACAATATTAGATTAAATATGAAGCAAGCGTCGTTTGAGGTTTGAACAACGAATCAACCTCATGCTACACTGGTAGTTACCCCGTAGGTGCTCCGTTCATCTTCAAACTTAAGTCTGAGTCCAAAGAAGCTCAGCACAGTGCCAGGCTCTGTAGCACCGGCGAGGATTATGAAATACATACGGGCGTCTGATCTCACTACCCAGAGACCAGGAGAAATTACTAGAAGTCCAAGTCCAAGTGAAAAAATCCCAGCCCTTACCGGGGATTGAACCCTGAACCTCTAGCACTCGAGGCGGATACCATGCCTCGATACCACGCAGCTCCCCCAGCAAGCGTCGTGTGTGAGTGTAAAAATGGTTAAAAAGTATATCCACATCAGCGTTAAAAGATTTAAAGCAGTATGCGATCTTGATTATGACAAACATGAAAGACAAGTCAAATTGAAAAAAAAAAAAAACATGATTGTACCAGTTTCAGATGTTGTGTTTCAGTTACGCTTGTAACTGATACTTAACCGTCTTATTTATCAACGTAGCTTTCTGCTTGTTCGATTATAGAAGGTACATTTTCAAGGACCGAGGAACTTGGCGCAAGCATTTTTTTTGTACAAAGAGGTAGGCGACATATTTTGGGGAATCTATGATCTGCACCATCGGTTCACAACTGGTACAAATTTAAGGGGTGCATAAAAAAATTGACACGCGCGCGCGCACACACAAACGAGCATACACACACACATACACATACAATTTCCAATACCGATTCTAACAAAGATTTACTTTATTTATTTGTTTGAAACAAAATATTATACTATTAAAAGTTATATGGTCAGTGGAAAACCTTAGAAAATAACAGGGGTCCGTGGATCTTGTCTAATTTGGAATGACTTGAACAACACCATAGTTTTCAAAATTCATTTTTCACCACTCCCCTGCAAATATGAAAACACCTTTACACAGCCCTTCCACTTCCACAGGAAATCTGTGCGATGTTACCGAACAGACAGAAAGATGCGGTGATACATTTTGAAAATTAAGCAAACGGAGACGGATTTATTCTATCAACATTTTGTTCTCCTCTGTTTTTGTTTTTCATATGTACCCACCACAATCTTATTTGTATTCATCGCTCTTCTTCCCTCTCACTCGCACCCACGGCTACAACCGCCCCTCTGAATCGTCCCAGAATCGACCCCGTAATCAGATCAGAGGCCTGAACGAAGTTGCTGTATTTTTCGAACTTCCTCACTTGCTTTCTGGGTCTCGATGTTACCTAGTTTGGGAGTCACTGACACCCACACAACTATACTGGAGTCTCAATTGGCAACATAAATTTAATAAACCTCACTTGTGTCGGCATTGACCGATCAAGAGCAGACGATAATTTCCCGCTAGCACTTGCTTATAGAGATTTCGCTCGTCGAAATATGCCACATTGTGGCTTAAAGGCTAATGAACAAGTTTCACAATTTTCGAATTACTAGTGTTCGAATTTCTAGATTGACATGTTAAATAACAAAAACCATGACAAAGATACTTCTTGTAACTTTCAGGCAGTGAATAGCAGACCTGCATCATGTAAAAAAAATTGTTGGCCTCACCATGTAAGAAATTGGGGCCTCACCATATAATAAGTTCGGGGCCTCAACATAAAAAAAATTGGAGCCTTTTCACGAAGGAAATTAGGGTTTTATCATGTAAGAAATTGGGGCCTCACCATATAAGACATTCGGGGCCTCAACATATAAGAAATTTAAACCATTTCACGAAGGAAATTGGGGCCTTATCACATATGAAATTATAGGCCTCATCATATAAGAAATTGGAGCCTTATCACTTAGGAAATTTGGGCCTTGTCATGTAAGATACTGGGACCTCCCATGGAAAATATTAAGGCCTCATCATACAAGAAATTGGCCCTTGTCATGTAAGAAACCTTTAGGAAATAAGGGACCTCATCATGTTAGAAATTGGAGACCTTATCATGTGAGAATTTAAAGGCCTCATCATGTAAAAAATTGGGTAAGAAATTGGGGCCTCATCAGGTAGGAAATTAGGGCCTCATCAGGTAAGAAACAAGGGTCTCATCATGTAAGACATTTGGGTCTCATCTAATAAGAAATTGGGGCCTTATCCGGTAAGAAATTACTGTCTCATTATGTGAGAAATTGGGGCCTCATCATGTAAGAAATTATGGCCTCATCTTGTAAGAAATTGGGGCCTCATCATGTAAGAAACTGGGGCCTCATCATGTAAGAAATTGGGACCTCACTATGTAAGAAATTGGGGCCTCATCATGTAAGAAATTATGGCCTCATCTTGTAAGAAATTATGGCCTCAACATGTAAGAAATTGGGACCTCACTATTTATGAAATTGGGGCCTCACCTTTTAGGAAATTGGGGTCTCACTATGTAAAAAATTGGAGCTCCACCATATAGGCAATTGAGAACTCACCATGGGACTTTATCACATAAGAAATTGAGGTCTCATTGGATACGAAATTGAGACCTCATCACGTAAGAAATTAGGGCCCCATTAGGTAAAAAAATTGGGGCCACAGCCTCATCAGTTAAGAAATTAGGGCATCATCAGGTAAGAAATTAGGGCCTGATCATTTAAGAAATTGGGACCTCATCAGGTAAGAAATTGAAGCCTCATCATGTGTAAGAAATTGGAGCCTCATCATGTAAGACATTTTAGCCTCATCATGTAAGAATTTGGAGCTTCATCATGTAAGAATTTGGAGCTTCATCGTGTAAGAATTTAGAGCCTCATCATGTAAGGCATTTTAGCCTCATCATGTAAGAATTTGGAGCTTCATCATGTAAGAATTTGGAGCTTCATCATGTAAGAATTTGGAGCTTCATCATGTAAGAATTTGGAGCTTCATCATGTAAGAATTTGAAGCTTCATCATGTAAGACATTTGGGGCTTCATCATGTAAGAATTTGTAGCTTCTTCGTGTAAGAATTTGGAGCTTCATCATGTAAGAATTTGTAGCTTCATCATGTAAGACATTTGGAGCTTCATCATGTAAGAATTTGTAGCTTCATCATGTAAGACATTTGGAGCTTCATCATGTAAGAATTTGGAGCTTCATCATGTAAGAATTTGTAGCTTCATCATGTAAGACATTTGGAGCTTCACCATGTAAGACATTTGGAGCTTCATCATGTAAGAATTTGGAGCTTCATCATGTAAGAATTTGTAGCTTCATCATGTAAGACATTTGGAGCTTCATCATGTAAGAATTTGGAGCTTCATCATGTAAGAATTTGGAGCTTCACCATGTAAGACATTTGGGGCTTCATCATGTAAGACATTTGGAGCTTCACCATGTAAGACATTTGGAGCTTCACCATGTAAGACATTTGGAGCTTCATCATGTAAGAATTTGGAGCTTCATCATGTAAGAATTTGGAGCTTCATCATGTAAGAAATTGGAGCCCTACCAGGTAATATTCCCACAGACAGCAGATGGTGCACAGAGCTACTGCAGGCAATCTCAGTTATGGAGACTGTCGGTCAACAAGCACCAATTACTGACTATTTACCACTTCTGTCTGTGTAGTCATGGGATGTATTTGAGCCTGAACATTTAGGGTGCCTTGCTAATGCTGTTGCAAAGGACTGTATTGGTTAAGATTTTATTTTTGACCCCGACAGAAAAAAAGAGAGTCCTGCATTCTTAACCGTTATGTCAGCCTTGTGAAGACAGAGCAGCATTGCATTTTTATCTTTTCTATTTAAAAATAGACCTCTTTTCTATTCTAATTGATGTCGCATATCAGAATTGTTCTATAACTGCTTGTCAATACATGCCATTTTATATTTCTCTGTATGTTTGATGCTGATTTGTTGATTCTAAATGACTGATCTTTCAGCCTGTCTGTTTATACAACCATTTTTATGTCTTCTGTTCTGTCTGTATACACAAGCAACGTTACCTTATCTGTATAAATATATGTCTATACCTCTGTAAATTCTGCTGTATAAGTTGTGTATCGTTTTCAGAAGCAAAAAATTGTTTTGTTGGCGAGAGTTAAAATGCACGCAGTGACAAAGAATAAGATGTCTCTGAATAGTCGGTATATGCTTCATTA